TTTCCTCCTACCCCGGTAAATCTCGTCTTATCCCGGTAGTTATGGTGGCATGCATGGTTATTCTGGCCAGCCACAGGTCATTAGAACAGTCCGTGTGGTGAATGATGCACAGCCTGCTCCAACTACTACCGTCTCTAGTTAGACGACTGCCAATCAAACGATTGTGAGGTGATTGGAACTTGTGCTCAAGGAACTCTCTTGATGCAATTGCATGAAGAGGTAGGGCCTAGTTCTGCATTGTTGACTTTTCATCTCAAGGAAGTACTGTTGAGTTATTCAGTTTGGAATATCGAATAAGAATCATGTTATCAGCCACGCGTGAGAAGACTGAGCGAGTTTTTTACTCTTGTCTCACATCGCCAATAGGAGCGCGTGTTAAACGTTTTGAAGCATTCATGGTTAGGGCTTTAAAATAAGGAAGATCATCCTATTTCGACAAGCTGAGTTAAACAGATACGATTCAAACTGTTGATTAGCTTAGGTAGCCCCCATCGTCGCCTAGTTTTCACACGATGGATTTTTGGTGTTCAGCATAAGAACTAGAGATTACATTTCGACAGAAGTCTCTCTGTACTGTCGATCTCATTCGTCATGACCACATTACCGCTTATAACAGTAGTACTATCACACTCGAATTTTCGCGGACTTTTGAAGTGCATTCATTACTTCTCGCTCGATCGCGACTCTCGCTCCTCCCAGGAAGCTGTAATAGCGAACCTTCCTATGACTATCAACTCAACACTATTACTCGAAACAGAGGAAGATTACTACAGTGCAGGAATAGCCACGAAAGTGCAAAGGTTGACCATGACTGCCAAGGCTGAGATATAGTCCAACACTACAGCAAACATATACAACCTCGTTAAGGAACAGCACCACTATCAGTAGTAGCCATGACCTAAACTCGCACTCCACTACTAGCGGCATGTACAAGCGCAAGCCTCAATCTCGACGAAAACATATAGAAAATTTAGTAAGAATAGTATCAATAGGAAGTTCCACCAAACAATCAACAAGTAATCATCGCTTCTCGCAAGCGACAATCTCAATCGGAAGGAATAGGAAGAACAAGTAGAGTAAGTGTGGTATAGCAAACAAATCATATAGTTCCATAGTTATTAATCAGTAACAGCACGAGCAGAAAAAGGATATATTCGCATCAAATGTCTGGCTCGACTCCATACACTACAGAAAGCATCGTCATCACATCATGAAATGTTCGTCTAACATTAAGACATATTCCTAGTGAACGACGCTAACTCCTATTATCAATACACACAAGCAGCAAATGATATCATTCTATACCCCGTAGTTCGGGCGTCACACCGTGGCAGTTCAAGCTACATGACTTGCCCAAAATTAGCAGCTGAACCGACCGCGTTACCCAGGAAGGGAGGCGACACAAGGTCACCCCACACGTCGCCGTGACCGACAACGGTGAACAGTCTAGGACCTATCTCCCCAGAACCATGCGTAATAAAACAGTCCGATTCCCATGAGGAGTCACTGCTGTCCGAGGAACAATCCGATTCATCCGAGACCTCCGACAGACGATCATCATCGCCAACGTCAGCGCTGTAATCATCACCGCTCGCATCCCGTAACGACACTTTCTCTTCCTCGTAACTCCGGGCATACGAGCGACCAAGGCCCTTCAAATTGGCAAAGGGTGGAGGCAGCGACAATGGTGTTGGATACTCAGCTGCCGCTGTCGGTAATGCCTTGGACACTACAACACCCGCTTCGCGCTGTTTCGTAAACAGGTTAGAGCCATCTCTACTAGTGGTGATCACGAGACGCAAACCAGAAGGCTGAAGAGGACCTAAGCAGTGTTCATACGAAAAACCAAGCTATGGGCGACGTTAGAGAGTACCAGCACCAGCACCCATATGCGAAGTCGTCTCATTCCTCCTTCTTGCTCCATCAGGACTTGGTATCCCACAGTAAGCACAGAATGCTACCAAAGGGAGACAACTGCTACTCCTCCACAACACAATAGTGACACTAGCTAGATGCGAGTGTGGCCCATCGTACCTCCCTCCGCCACAGTCAACTTGTGGCATCGACGGCAATTACTCCATTTTCCGAACAAATGCACAACACCGTCTACCGGGTTTCTATCCACAACTTCATCCTCTTTCCTAGGTGGAGTGGTGTTATGTACACTTTGCATGGAAGATTGCCTTGTGTTGACATCAATAACCAAACCTTCACTTATCGGGACGATGGGAACTAATGGCAGCAACACATTTTGGGAACTCATTGGCGAGAAAACTTTATGGCTGAAAACATTAATATCATACAAAACCTCCCGAAAGGCTAAACCATCAAAAACATCCGACCAACACACATTCATGATCCTCATCAGCAAACCGTTCCAAACCTCGACTCTGCATATGCGACAACATGGCTGGGAAGTGCATCGGGAAAACCATACCATCACAGAGCGAACTACATTTAAACTGCAACTTATGGGCCTCTGCCTTTCCTTTATCCGACGTGTACTGCTCAATGAGGAACTCCATGGTCCATACCATCCCATAAGTACACTCTTGCTGGTGTTCCATAAACACGAGAGTTAGTTTGATAGCTGCCTAGGCGGTTATCGCTCATAGGGGGTGGCCTACCACCAATGGTAGAGACCATTAGCGTAGACCATAGAACGCAGCCCCCAGCGACACAAAGGGCGCGAAATACCACATGCGAACCTCCACTAGACAGACTTCATGATTATGCTCGAGATTAGTCCTGCGGTACTCAAGCACCTCGACCGTAGCATGAGTAGTAACGTGGATCACGGTGGCCATCACAGGTGCAAGAAGAGAACTCCAACGACGAGGAGACATACATGATGAACGAAGCCCCACTGGTAGAACGACCGAATCCCTCAAGGGATCGAAGTATACTACAAGTGGAGTCAAAGCTGCAGTCACCCGCAACACCTGTGAGCCGCTTATGGGACAGCCTCAGGTGATAAACGGCCCTTGAAGGTGAAAGCCGGCCGATCCATGTGGCAGCTGCCCAGACCAGC